CATGCGCTACCACACCCAGCTCATTTTTGATTTATTGTAGAGATGAGGTCTCGCCAAGTTGCCCAGGCGGGTTTCGAACCCGTGGGCTCAGGCAATCCACTCACCTCAGCCTCCCAAAAGCGCGGGATTACAGGCTGAGCCACCGAGCCTGGCACTGAGGGCCATTCTTATTGGGGTTAGGTGGTATCTCAATGTGGTTTTGATTTGCATTTCTCTGATGGTGAGTGGGGCTGAGCACTTTTTCATGGGTCTGTTGGCCACCCATATAGCTTCTTTTGAGAAATGTCTATTCATGTCTTTTGGCCACTATTTAATGGGGCTGTTTGTTTTTTTTCCTTTCGGCGTGTTTTAATTCCTTATAGATCCTAGATGCTAGGCCGTTGTCAGACATACAGTTGGCAAATATTTTTTCCCAGTCTGTGGGCTGTCTCCCTGCTCTCTTGACAGTTTCTTTTGCTTTGCAGAACCTCGTCAGTTTGATGAGGTCCCACTTGTTGATCTTATTCCTTATGGTATGGACACTTAGGGTTCTGATCAGGAATTGGTTGCCAGTTCTAATTTCCATAAGGGTGTCACCTACGTTTTCTAAAATTTTTATAGTTTGAGGTTTTATGTTTAGGACTTTGATCCATTTTGAGCTGATTTTTGTGTATGGTGATAGGTAGGAGTCCTGTTTTAATCTTCTGCATGTGATCAGCCAGTTTTCTCAGCACCATTTACTGAAAAAACTGAAAAAAAGTTTTCTCAGAACCATTTACTGAATAGGTTCTCCTCTCTCCATTGGTTATTGTTGGAGACTTTGTCAAAGATGAGTTGGTTGAGAAATTGAGGCTTCGCTTCCGGAATCTCTATCCTGTTCCATTGGTCTATGTGCCTGTTCTTGTACCAATACCAGGCTGTTTTGATTACTGTAGCCTTATAGTAAAGTTTGAAATTTGCAAGTGTGCTATCTCCTGCTTTGTTTCTTTTGTTAAGGATTGTTTTGGCTATTCGTGGTTGTTTATGTTTCCATATGAATTTCTGTATTGTCATTTCCAGGTCTGAGAAAAATGATGTTGGTAACTTTATGGATATTGTGTTGAATCTGTAGATTGCCTTTGGTAGAATGGACATTTTAGCAGTGTTGATTATTCCTATCCATGAGCATGGAATATTTTTCCATTTGTTTATGTCTTCTTGGATTTCTTTGAGCAGTGTTTTGTAATTCTCGTTGTAAAGTTCTTTCACTTCTCTGGTTAGGAAGATGCTGAGGTATTTCATTTTTTTTTATGGCTATTATGAATGGAATTGTGCTTTTTATTTGAGTCTCTGCCTGCTAGTTGTTGGCGTATAGGAATACAAGTATCTTTTGCACGTTTATTTTATACCCTGAGACTTTGTCAAAGTTCTTTATCAGTGCAAGCAGATGTTTGACAGATTCTCTTGGATTTTCAAGGTATAGGATCATATCATCAGCAAAGAGGGAGAACTTGACTTCCTCTTTTCCTGTTTGGATATCCCTGATTTCAGAAAGATGGAATTCTCCCTAAATCATTTTACAAAACTAAAATTGCCTTAGCTAGGACTTCCAACACAATGTTGGACAAGATGGGTAAGAGTGGGCAGGCTTGTCTTGTTCCAGTTTTCAGGGGAAATGTTTCCAGTTTCTATCCATTTAACAATATGTTAGCTGTGGGCTTATCATAAATGGCACTTACTATTTTGAGATATGTTCCTTCTATACCTAGGTATTTGAGGGCTTTTATCAGGAAAAGATGCTGGATTTTATCAAAAGCTTTTTCTGCATCTAATGAGATAATCATGTGGTTCTTGTTTTTACCTCTGTTGACGTATTTAATAACATTTATGGTCTTATAAATGTTGAACCAGCCCTGCATCCTGGGAATGAAGCCTACTTGGTCATGGTGGATGATTTTTGAGATATGTTTTTGGATCCGATTTGCTAGAATCTTGTTGAGGATTTTTGAAACTATGTTCATAAGGGATATTGGCCTGTAGTTCTCATTTTTTGTTGAATCTTCACCCAGTTTGGGTATCAGTGTGATGTTAGTTTTGTAAAATGATTTAGAGAGAATTCCATCTTTCTCAGTCACCTGGAATACTTTCAATAGGATTGGTACCAGTTCCTCTTGTATGTTATTTAGAATTCTGCTGGAAAGCCATCTGGTCCAGGGCTTTTTTTAAAGGTAGTTTTGGTATGTCAGAGTCAATTTCCTGAGTTGTTATTGGTCTAAAAAGTTTCTCAGTGTCTTCTTGTTTCAACCTGGGGAGATTGTGTGGACCATCTTACTCTTTTCTAGAAGGGGGGCTACTTCTCTTCTGGGTCCTAAGACTGGAGGAACACACGGTTGGTCCAGAGCAAGCATTCACCAACTCCCCTTGTGTTTCTGGAGTGATTCACAGGGAGGGGATTTGTTCTAGAAGGGACTGGAACAATGGCAACTCAGAAGACTCTAATTCCTGTGAGGAGCCCAGCAGAGCCCTTCTGGAGGAGATGGAATTCTGGAATCCTGGAATTCCAGATAACTTAAGTGAAGAATCTAATGCATGTACAACCAGAAGTGCAACAGCCCACCATTGCCAGAAGATCAAGATGGAAGACAAATGATCTCTAGCTGGCCAGCATCTCACTCTGCACACAGGCTGTGGAAAACTGGGACAGTTGGTGAACAGAGTGGAACTCTGTACAGTCTCTCAGCCCCTGAGAAAACCTCAAAGACTTTATTTTGTTTTACTTTTTTTGGAAACGAGGTCTTGATATGTTGCCCAGGCTGGTTTCAAACTCCTGGGTTCAAGTGATCCTCCTGCCCTCCCAAAGTGATGGGATTACAGATGTGAGCCACTTTGCCCAGCTTTTTTTATTTTTTTGAGTCAGAGTCTCACGCTGTTGCCCAGGCTGGAGTGCAGTGGCACACTCATGGCCACCGCAGCCTCGACTTGCTGGGCTCAGGTCATCCTTCCACCTCAGTCTTCCGGGAACCATAGGCACACACCACCACGCCCAGCTTATTTTTTTATTTATTGTAGAGACGCAGGCTCACCAAGTTGCCCAGGCTGGTCTCGAACCCCTGAGCTCAGGCAATCCTCTCACCTTGGCCTCCCAAAGTACTGTGATTACAGGCTTGAGCAACTTTGCCTGGCCTCTTTTTTTTTTTTTTTAAGGTAGACATGTGCCTGGTTACGCATGCCTTTAATCCCAGCCTTTTGGGAGGCAGAGGTGAGAGGATTGCCTGAGCCCAGGGGTTTGAGACCAGGATGGGCAACATGGTGAGACCTTGTCTCTACAATAAATAAAAAAATTAGCCGGGCATGGTGGTGTATGCCTGTAGCTACAGTTACTTGGAAGGCTGAGATGGAAGGATCACCTGAGCCCAGCAGGTCAAGGCTGCAATCCAGCCTGGGCATCAGAGTGAGACTCCAACTCAAAAATCAAAAAACAAAAAACTAAAAAGCAGACTTGCTAGAATGTGGGAGTGGGGAAAGGCGTGGCTGCTGAAATACTGCAGCTTCTGAAGCAGAACCTTCCAGAGATCCAGGAACACTTTTCTTTTTAAGATCAAAAACTGCCAAAGACGGGAACTGTGTGTGTTGGCTCCAAGTTCAGATTGCCTCTCATGATTAAGGAAATTGATCCTCCTCTGCATGTGGGCTGCGCTGGGATCTGGCAACTATTTTCTGGAAGTCGGGAGGCATAAACATGCCACCTAGGCTTGTGGAAAGCCGACAGATGCTGTGCTCCTTGCACCTGAACTTACAGAACCAGCACATCTGGCTTTGGACACGTCTGAATAAAAAGACTCGGAGGGCTGGGCTCGGTGGCTCAGCCTGTAATCACGTGCTTTGGGAGGCCGAGGTGAGTGGATTGCCTGAGCCCGTGGGTTCGAGACCCGCCTGGGCAACTTGGCGAGACCTCATCTCTACAATAAATAAAAAATTAACCCAGCATGGTAGCGCGCCTGTAGTTCCAGCTACTTGGAAGGCTGAGGCGGAAGGATGTGGGCAACAGAGTGAGAGACTCCAACTCAAAAAAAAAAAAAAAAAAAAAAAGACTCAGAGGTCTGCAGATTGTGGACCCAGCCTCAAACCCAGACAGGCACATAGGGTTTGGCCAAGGAGGACAAGATTCTTGATTGAGATTTCAGGAGCCCCTTGATGTTTTTTGGAGGACAAAGAAAGATACTTTTTTTTTTGAGTCAGAGACTCATTCCATCACCCAGGGTGGAATGCAGTGGCTCGCTCGTGGCCACCGCAGCCTCAACCTGCTGGGCTCAGACAATCCTTCTGCCTCAACCTTCCATGTAGCTGGAACCCCAGGCAAACGCCACCACAACCGGCTGATTTTATTTATTTTTTAAATTTATTGTAGAGACAGGAGCAATCCTCTCTCCTCTGCCTCCCAATGTGCTGGGATTATAGGCTTAAACCACCGCACCCGGTCGAAAGACACCTTTTATACAGTCAACTGGTCACAACCCCCAACACCCATCCGGGAACCCAAGCCTCTAGTCTTCTCAGGGAGTTTCAGGGTTTCATTCCCAGCTCAGCTGCCACAGGTAGGAGGGCCAGAGGTATGAATTAAAAGGCCACGTCACCAACCTGTCTCTGCAGCTTTTTTTTGAAGCTGTGTGCTTGCATACGTGTGTAAGTGAATGATATTACAGGAAAAGGTGGGGAGCGTCGGCGGACTGGCATTACTCATGATGTTTTGGGATGTTTCTACCCAGGTCTGGCAGGTCTGGCAGCCCCTTGCTGCTGGGCTTGTATGAGTTGTGGTCCCAGTTTTTCTGGTTCCCCGTTCCAGTACTCGGAAAGATAAGGAAAGAGCTTCTGGGATCCAAGTTCTGAACTCTCGGTTCCTTTCTCCAGGACCCTCACGATTGGCGCCCAGCCCTCTCCTCCCACTGGGACCGCAGCATCCAGCCCGATGGGAAACGAAGGTGGAAGACGGGCGCGAGTGAAAAGTATAATCATTGAACTACATTTCCCATGAAGCCACAGCGTCCACCAGCTACGGAGAAAGACCCCAGGGTCTTCTGGGAGTCGTAGTCTTAAGGCCGAACCGTCCGCGGCCCGCATCTTTATGCGCCAGAGTTTCCAAAGGGCGCGAGGGGTCATCTAGCCCAAAACCTGGGTCCTGGGGCCAAGGGGGGGGGAGATGAAGGCCAGAAGCCCGAGCCTTGACACTGGAAGCCGGAGCAGGCAGGTGACTTCCCCCTCAGAAGATACTGGGAAAGTTCTGGGGTAAAAAAGGCCGACCCTCTGTGACGTCACAGAGTGATGGGCGTGGCCTCCCTTTGTTGTCGTCCCCTCGGCAGGGCTTCTGGGCGGGGCCGAGGAAAACTCCGACAAGTGATTCCTGGGGAATTTTGGGTCCCCACGTGGGAAGCTGGAATCGGGAGACTGCAGGAGGTCCTTGTAGAGAGGGGACCTTCCCTGACTCCCAACCCGACGAAAAGCTCTCGATTCCCCGCACCCAACCTCACCCTCGCCCCCAACCAAATCCTTAGTTTCAGCCGTGGGAAAATACTTGGCGTAGAAGGCCGTGACCCAGGCTTCCTCTTTAAAAGCCCTCGGGCCGGGCTCGGTGGCTCAGTCTGTAATCCTGCGCCTTGGGAGGCTGAGGTGAGTGGATTGCCTGAGCCCGCGGGTCT